TTTGCCTTGGGGGCGTGTGATGGAGTAGAAGGCTGCCAATTAAATCTGCCTGTTTACGTGTGTGAGTAGGATTAATACAATGTATCCTGATTCCGATGTATGGAACTTCTTCTCCTCCTCTTCGTCATCGTCCTCTTCCTCATCCTCCTCCCCCCTGTAACATCTGCCTTTTGGGTTTTTTTTTGTTTTGTTTTGTTTTTTGGTACCAGGGATTGAACTCAGGACCCGGCACTTGTAATGCAGTTGGACGAACCACTGAGCTAAATCCCCAGCCTAAAATCTCCTTCTAGTAAAAACAAAAGTAACCACATTTAGGGCTCATCTGCATGATATGAGATGATATCCTTATTGCAAGATCCTTAAATGAAAAACATCTGTAAACTTCACTTTTGTCATATAGGGTAATATTCAGCCTGCAATTAATGTCCTTGATTCTTTGGAAATCTTGACAGGTATTTTTCCTGCAATAGTAATCCATCAAATTTGGTCTTCTGTACCTACACCTGTAATTGGCATCACCTTTATCTTTAAGCTTCAACATCTGTCTCCACACTCAAACTAGCTGTGATGGAATCTGTTACCCCACTGTGGTTGGGAGTTGAATACAAGAGAATCTAAATAGGAAGCTCTCAAATTGGAAAAGCATCAGAGAAGCTGCAGTAGTATCCTGCTCATCCTGCCTTGTACCAACAGGAGTTTAGGATTTAGTGATTTGGAGATCAAGAAGAAAGTAGAGCAGATTCTACCATGGGTCATGTGGGTGCTCTGAGCCAGGGGGAAGTGAGCATGATTAGCAGCAGTGTCCCCAGCTGACTTGGAATGGACTCACTTGACTCAGAGCCAAAGAGTTTATATCCCGTAAGTCATAAAGATAGTCCATAGTTCCTCTATTCCTTCTCTCAATATCCCTTAATGTTAATGTCATACATAACCGTGACATAACTGTCAAAACGAAGAATCTGACACTGGTACAACTGGAGTCTGATTTCCCATATTTTTTCTAATAACCTCCTTTTACTGATCATCCAGGACCCCACATAGCACTAAGTGTCAGATCTCCTTAGTCTTCTACATTGTGCAACAGCTTTATAATCTTTCCTTGCTTTTAATCATCTTGACTCTTTTGAAGGTCATCGGTCAGGTGTTTTGTAGAATTTTTTCTTCTTGTGTTTCCTGTTGCTTTCTCGTATTTACACTGGAATTATAGATTTAGAGGAAGAAACAGAGGGGAGCAATCACAGGATAACATCAAAGCACAACTTAAACGACATTGCTTCAGAGAAGAATGCACATGAGGTTAACAAGACTTCTCATAGGTTGCATATATTAACCTTGGTCTGGTTACCATTTCCCTGTCCTTAGTCTATCTCTAGAGGCAAGCCACTAAGTCCAGAGGAGGGGACTGAAGCTCCACCTTCCCCAGGGAAAAATATCGAAGAATATGTGGAAATGTTAAAACTATAATGGGTCAATATTTGGACAATAACACTTTACAGCTGTGCAAATATTACATATATTCTAAAAGTTTCCTCCATCAATTTTGCTATTAGTCATTGGATCTTACATGTAGCCATTATTACAGTGGCATTCCTAATGGTAATTTTTCTATTCCCACTATTGCTTCTATGCATAAAATTTAGAATTTTTATTGGGAGGTTTGTCCCTTCTCCCTATTTATATATTTAATTGTTAATATAAATTTGTGGATTTCTTTTATTCCTCACACTATAATCCAGTGCTACCATTATTTATGTTGCTCCTCAAATTGTATCGGTTGCATCAGTATTGATGATTGGGAGCTCTTTCAGAGTGGTTACCCTGTCCTTTTGAAATGCTTCATCCTTTCTTCCCTTTTCTTTCTTAACTACTTCTTTTATCAGGATTTATCTTATATTTTTGTCTAGAGTCCTAGTCCCTTTAACTAGAGCATGAAGGCACTGTTGCTAATGGTATTCTCAATGGACACATCTGTAAAATCTATGAATGTAAAGCAACCTACTATATATCAGTATGTATATTTCTATATTTATATATTTAAGAATAACTTTACACTGATATCTACAATGGATACTCTTGTGCCCTATAAATATCATTGAGTTTTGCTCCTGCATTTGATTATGTTACTTGGGAATAGTGTTCTTTTGGGTTCTTGCTTTTAAACTATATTAGATAAACTCAGAAAAAAAGTTAGTGAACTTATAACTTGCTTTGTCTTTAAAACAAACCTATTAGAGAACTGTAGTGGTTTTCCATGAATTATTAAATTTCTCTTTTTTTCTAGAAGGAAAAGCATTACTCCTGCTTCTTTGTAATCTCTGAATATTGTTTCCTCTTTTGAGTTTAATGGCTCTTTCTCCAAACTCGAGGACTTTCTTTCTCACACATTTGCAAAATAAAATATAGCTGACGAGTGAAAGGAGCCCTTTCTGAAGATTCCCACAATTCCAGGTCTTTGCCCTATAAATTTACCTATTTTTTTTTCATTGAGTTTATTGGTATGTTTTGGGTAGATAGTACAGTTACATTCATTATTGGGATCTTGTACCTTTACATGACAGGTCTTGGTTCTTATTTTATCCCCTTGTCTCTGCCCTCCCTTCACCCCCTCCTCCCCTCCCCATTTGCAAACACTTTTTTCCATTTTCTCATATTTTTTTCTTTTCTCTTATTACCTTTTCCCTACCCTTCCCACTTTCCCTACACCTTTAGCCCTTATCTTCCTATTTCACATTGTCAATTATCTCATTAGGATCTTAGGTATGATTATAGTTTTTCACACCTGAGAAACTATTTGGTATTTACACATGTATGACTTATTTATTTCACTTAGGAGTATATACTCAATATGATCCATTTTCCTATGAATGAATCAAATTTCTCATTCTTTATGGCTGAGTAGTACTCCATTTTATAGAAAAATGATATCTTCTTTATTCACTCTCCAACTGATGGGCAAATGGGCTGTTTCCAAGTTTTAGATATTACAAACTATGCCACTATAAATTTACCTATTTTGACTTTTGTTTCTAGCTCTGACACAGTAAGTCCACCAGTATGTGCCTAGGTTCCCCTTCTGTAGCTCATATCTTGGAATCTCCCTCCAGGCAGTAGGGTGGGGTGGTCCTGGTGCTTAATGTGGTTATTTTTCATCTCTTGAAGATCACTGTCTTTAGTTGCCTGTTTCCAATCATTATAACTGTTGTTTCACATATTTTCTACAAGTTTTTCCAAGTGGGAGGCTAAATCTGATTGGTGTTAATCCATCTTGGTTGGACTGTAGATTCACTCCAGAACCATAATTATTTTCTTTGAAGAGGTCCTCCAGAATTTCAGTGGTTATGGACCTTTCATCAGATTCTGAACATGTGGTTTCCATTCCTCACAAAGAGTATAAAATTTAATTTGATACACACATGAGAAACAGCTTGAATTTATCCCTTTTTTGTGATTCAAAGGTCCAGACAAACATCCAGTATCTTAATGGAATATCTGGGTCTTTGGTTGTAATACATTTAGTCTACAAAGAATGGGTACATTTTGGGACTTCGGGATCAATGCAAGAGATGTAATTATAGTATTTTATGTCACATCTTTTATATAGGCATTAAACCCACAGTGCCAACAGGGAGCCTGTATCAAGTTTGAAAGTGTGTAGGTCATTATGATTTTAACCTTACCTTGCCTATGACTCTGCTTCTAAGCTCCCTCTTTTTATACATAGTGAATTTCTCTCTCTCTCTCTCTCTCTCTCTCTCTCTCTCTCTGGATTACCTTTATGTTATTGTTTTTGTTTAAAGTTTTGGTAACGAGGAGTTTTTGAAATTTAAAAGAAAAAATGAATGAATTAGTACAAGCTAATAATTTCCTTTCTGTTCCTTCTATATTCCTTCTATCTCTCCAGACAACCAGCAGTATATTTTATAATTTTCTCCTTCCTTAAGCAAACATACAAAAACACATATGATCTTAAGCTGGAACTTATATTACTTTTCATAATATCATCATTAATTGTGTTAGTTTGCAAATTATTTTCCTCTTGATAGTTTAATTTATCTTTTTTTAAATTTTATTTTATTTTGTTTTGTTTTGTTTTGTTTTTGAGACAAGGTCTTGCTATAGAGTCCAGATTGGCCTTGAACTCACTATGTAGCCCAGGCTGGCAATGAATTTGTGGTGATCCTCCTGCCTCAGCCTCCTGAGTGCTGGGATTCCAGGGGTGTCACCACACCTGGCAATAGTTTATCTTGATCATCCCTACAGGTGAATAAATAAATATGGCTTTTTTTCCCTTTAATCTTCTTTGTGCATGAGACATGAAACATACATATAAATAAGACAAGATCATATATTCTGTGTGCATAACTTTCAATATTTTTATAACTGTCCAAACTTTAACTATAGTTGATAGGTGCAACCAACAGACTCATTCAAAAACAGCAAGTTCTTTTAATAAAAGTATATAATTTCCTATGCACATATAGCTTTGTAGATCTCAAGACATATTCCACAGTTAAAATACTCCTTGGAAAAGGTAAAGGACATTTTCAGCTCATTGTGCTATGCAAGAGAGCATGGAGTTGAAACCATTATTTTCCAAGTAAGAAGCATAGACAGGAGAAATGATGCAATTTGAAATCATGTAAAATAATTTTATAATTTTCTTAGACCACAGAAACTAAGGAGGGTAAGGAGGGATTTAAGTGTATGGTGAGGTGGTACACAGTGCAGTTTACAGGAGATGCCAGCTCGTGTCCTAATGGAATGAGGAATGCTGAGGAAGTAACATCAAAGGTGGAAAAGAAAGAGGGAGACAGCAGAATTACAAGAGAGTGATTCTTGAGAATGTTCAAATCACTTGAGTCTAAAATATGGGAATGGGACTGAGTATCTGAGAAAGACTGGAGGAGGTGATCACTGGGCATGAGCAAGTGAAGAACCTGAGAAGCCAGGTACCATCTTGATTTTGGAACCCATCAAAGAAGCTGGGAGTTTTAGGGCAAAGACGCAAGAAATAGTGTAGAAGCCATAACAGAAAGTAAAAGGGAGAGGTAACTACCCTCAGTCTGGGACTCAGTCACTCTTGGGAGAAAGTCTTACCCCCAAGAGTTTCTGTTGTTATACTTTTTTGTGGTCTGCTTCTTCCTTGCCTCCAAATAGATAGAACACCAAACCCATGTTCTTCCTGTGATGGGAGGAGCCTAAAACAACTTCTGAGAACTCAAGGAGATGGACGGAAAGGGGGAAGTACGAGGGTTTCTGCACAGCCAGGGCTTGATCCTGCAGCACTGTGGCTAAGCTGCTGGCGCAAAAATACACGGCTGAATCCTCGGGTTCTGTCTGCTGGATCTTCAGGGTGGAGAAGGATCCATTAAGCATCTCAGCTGAGAACCGCTCCTTGGGCATCCCTGAATCATCTATGGGCTGCTGGTTATTAAAGTAAATCAGCAGTTTCAGTCCTTGCCCCGTGAACTGCCTGTACCAGAAAAGTGCGTTGTGGCCTGACATAGGCTTACAGCTCAAAGTTATTGTTTGCCTCTTTCCTGTCACCACATGCCTTTGTGTCTGGGTGACTCCAGCATCTGTAAGTTGTAAGAAGAGTCAGAATTAGGGATCCCACTAAGGAACATAATTGGAATCATAACTGCCCATTTCCAAAAACACATTCTGTATTTCCAGGGACTCACCTACTCCTAGGACACAGAAGATCACACAAGAAAGGAACCTGGTGACCATGTCAGGGTGGTGCAGGAAGAGGCTGCACCTCCCTCACAGGCCCTGTGAATCTGTGCAGTGAGGCTGAGAATTCTAGGATCTCTTGTCTCCCCACAGGGAGCGTGGCTTGGGAGTGACATCACTGCCTATGTCACAGCTCAGAGGACTTCCTTCTAAAGGGAACGTTGATCCTCTACCAAAGGCCACATGAAAATCTGAGAAGTGGCTTGCTATTCTGCTTTCTTTCTGTTCTGCCTTACCATGACAAAACAGATCCATGGAAAGTTTGAATGATCTCCCAGTGAAGCACACATAATAAAACACATTCGGAGATTCCCCAAATTTGAAAGTGTACTACTTCGATTTTTTAAAATTCCTTATAAAGCTCAAGGAAAGTCATTCTAAACCATCAGTTTTTCTTTCATCAATTCAACCTCTTTTCTCAAATGTGATATATGCCAGTCTTTGAATAGTATTTATTTCCCTTAAGATTTCTTGTTTCTAATATAATCCCACACGTTTTACTTCCCTCTGCTATTATGAAATGCTTTAAGATCAAGCTGAATTTTTAAATGTTTAAAGTGCTTTTTAAACTTGCCTTATTCATGCTATACCAACTAGCAACGTTAGCAATATTGACTGGTATTGAATTAACAGCTTTCATTTTATGCTTGCATCTTCGCCTGGGCCATTCATTAATCGTCCTAACCTATTCTTCTCGACTTTATTTTTATGATCTTCCATGGGGTGGGATATGAAATTAAAGAAATTTTACTGGGTCTTCTTAAAATAACCTCTATGAAAACAAATACTTGCATATCTTCAATTTCCTGTGTCATGCAATTCTATCTGCAACGTTTTCTCTTCCTTGTATTTTTGCTCCTTTCCTCTATAACATGCCCTGTCTTACATTAGACTTTCTGAGCAGTAATAATTTTAATAATTAATCAGGCAGGCTCTTTAAGGCACAGGTTATAGCTATGACCATGTAATAATATGAGTACTTTAATTGATCTCTGTAGGTATCCTCTGTCAAAGCTGCCTCAATAATAAACTCTCCTTATAGTCATAATATTCAGAATTCCCCTATGAACTTCTGAATCTTGTCTTCCTCTTGGCAATTCCTTCAGGGTACCGGTGGGATCCTGTAGTCGTTCTTCTAAAGGGATTTCTCTGGTCTGCAGTGATATTGTCTGCCTTAGTGAAAATCAAAATAAGCTTCTCTCTTTTCCATTGTTACCTCTAAGAGCTTTTTGTCTTAAATGCATTTTCTGTTCTCTTTATTCTCTGTTTTCTTCTGGACCTGAGAATTTTCCTTCCCTTTCACATGAGGATACTACGGCTTCTAAAATGCTGTAGAAACTGCTTTCTTTAATGAAGCTGTTTTATTTGCTTTTGCTTAAAATGAATTTTTAAAATTCCATCCCACATTTCTTGTGTTTGAGCCCCTCTGTCTCCATTTATTAGCAAGCTGATGTTGAGAAAATTACACATTTTCAGTTTTCTCCTTTACACAGTGAAATATTGACTAAATATTTTTGGCAAATAGTGGAATGTCCAAGACATAGTAAGAGCCATAAAAGTTTTTTCTCTTATAAATATTATTCCTGTATTCTTGTCCTTATAGGAACAAGGAATCATCGCTTCAGACCTCTGTGGTGTCTCCTCTATTTTCTCTGCATATTTAAATTCCCTATGACATGACACTCAAAGCACAGATATTCTGGTAATTAGCCTTTAAACTTTTGCAATAATTGTGTTGATTAATTTTGCACTTCAGAGTGTACATGATCTAATTTCTTCTGCCTTAAGAGTTCTCATTACGTTTTTTCTTCAACTCAAACAGCCTGACCAATTATGTTTATTACCATTCGCTCTCAATTATTTCTGTTGGAGAGTTCACTGTTACTAAAGGTTTATTCTCTTTGACTTCTTGGAGAGTCGTAGAAATAGAAATTCTCCCATGCCAATCCACCTGATGAGTCAATTTCAATGAGTATTTTCTTACTGTCTGAAACTCAATAACCTTGTATTTTTTTAACTTCTTACCAGTGAACAGGGAGGTTGTAATCATCTAGGATTCAGAAAATATCCAGACAAGAGCAGTGGTCATTGTACAGCTCTGCATATTCTGGAGGATCTGCAAGATGAAAGCTGCATTGTTAATGTTTAACTCTAGAATCCCCTTCAAAGTTTTATATGTTCAGAGTTGAGGAGGCTTTTAAAAGGTTATTGAACAACGGGGATTACTTTATTGATGAATTATAGGTAAATGTGCTGTTAGCAAGTGGGGCCTGGTTAGTAAGAGGGTCACTGGAGGTTTGTTTTGGAAGGCTGCGTTCTTGTCTTCCTCTTCCTCCTCTTCTTCCTCCTCCTCCCCCTGCAGCTATGGGGTGAGCAGCTGTCCTCCACCATGCTTTTATACCATGCTATTTCTGCCTTCAAGCCAGCCATCTATGATTAAACTCTCTGAAACCATGAGCCACAATGAAACCTCTCCTCTTTTAAGTTGCAGGTGTTGGGTATTTTGTCCCAACAATGGAATTGACTAATATTTACATTATCAAAGTTACATATTCTGCATTTGAATTGAGGAATTTAGAGACGCTAACGGAGATGTCCATTCTCTATTACTAGTCCCAAATACATCTATTGGATATTATTTATGAATAATAAGAATACTGTGAAGATTGAAAAGGCTTGACTTTTTAAAATACAAAGCAATTAGACTTTTGTATTACATTTACTGGCAAGGAACATTATTGAATTTGCACTTACATATGCAAAAATGATCAGTATTGGACAATCAGCCTCAGTAAAAGATAATAGCCATGTAGGCAGGGGATTTAGGGCAGTGGGGCCGCCATCTGCCTTATAAGTGCAAGGTCCCGAGTTCAATCCCTGGTACCAAAAAATAAAAAAAATAAAAATAAGAAGCTAATGGCCATGCTTGAGACTCATGCACAGGTATCAGAAATAGTTCCTAATACTGCTATTCAAACAGAAACTTCAGATAATTTCCAAAAAACCTTCCCACAAGCAACCATTCATTATTACTCACAAGTCTACAGGACAGATAGACAGTCCTGTGAATCTTGGCTCACTGTTTAGATAATAATTCTGTTTGAGGTACATGGTTTTCAAAGGTTTTCATGATTCCTGTGGTATCTATTTGTCATACTCTTAACAGAGGCTTTCACAGAGCAAAGATTTTAAAATTTGGTGGGGGAATTTTGTCTTGAAATATTCCAAGTGGTAGGGATTGTGGAATTAAATAGAAATAGATCAGAGCTCAGTGAATTTCCTGATCTCCAACAAAAGTATGTAAAAATAATACAGTGAAAACAATCCTGATCCATCTACCTGGTTGTTCATTTACAAAATAGGTACCTGTCATTCCCCATGTGGAAAAAGGAGTCAGCAGGGCCATTTGCTGCTTCATAGAAAAATAAAAATAAAGTAGTCAACAGTGTCTTGAGTAATTATAAGGATTGGGCATGCTGGAGAATATGGTGGAAATTGCAGGAGCAAGGGCATGGAGAGATATTTAACTGTATAAAGAATTTTTGCAAGAAAATTAATTATATTTGATTATTAAGATAAATGTTGTGAAACATCACAAGGCCTAGATCTTTAAAAAATCAAATACTATCCCAAAATGGGACTTTTACCCTGCAACCAATGGAGCACTGGTGAATGTATAAAACCTGGAAAGAATGTCCTATGTGGTGAATTTTATCACACTAGTAGAATAAATTAGGTCTCCATTATCCATTCCAGCAAAAACAAAATCAAAGTGGGGAAATTGGGAACTGTTGGGAGGAGAAAAGAACGCAAAGCACCTGCACATATTTTTGCTGAGAAGCCTGGTGTGTAGTCACCTCCTCACAGAGTTGGCTGATAAGGAGATTGCAGAATGCTGTCTAAGCCACTCGTTACAGAATAGCCATTCGAAACAACTTTGTCTTGCATTGGCTTCTTTAAGTCTATTTATTTATTCATTCAAAACATAGGCTTTCACAGCCTTCTGATTCCCAATGTTAAAATTTGTGGAGGCTATTTCAAAGTTTCTACCCTTGGGAAGTTTAAGTTTGGGAGAGATGAACACTCATTCACTTATTCAGGAGATGTTTACTGTAATCATGAAAGAAAGTCTAAAAAAGATTGAAAGGAAAAACTGAGAAGTGAAGAAGTCATGAAATTGAATAGCCAATCAATGTATACATTACCCTGGTGATGATGTAGATATCAAGGATGAAGACAAGGTTGCAGTAGGCAGAGGACTAAATGAGAAGAGAGATCTGATAGCAAGGAAATGAGTGCAACAATAAAGGGCAGTATCCTAATGCCACATGTGCAAAGGAGCTGGGTTTTAAACTAGAAAGAAGTGGGCTGGGGATTTGGCTCAATGGTTTTGCTGCCATGCCTCACAAGCGCAAGAGCCTGAGTTCAATCCCCAGTATGGGGGGGGGAGCAACTAGAAAGGGGTAGAATGACCTGCAAGCATCAGAAAGGATCCAGAACAAGGAACCTATTAAAGGCATATGCAGATAATGACTGTTTCTTGATATACCCACAAAAGAAATTTTGTTTCATTCTGTACTATTTTCACCCTGAAATCCAGAGCACTTGAGTAACAAAAATAGGTCAATAAAAAGTGTAATTTGGCTTTGGCAGGGCTCACATGAACCTGAATTGCCTTGGCCATTCAAATATAGTATATTTTGTACCAGTTACCAAGGATACCCTGATAGGGGTTGAGAGGCAATCAGTAAGTGGATCAGACTTTAGAAGAGAGGAATTAGAACCATTCAGAATGGATTACAGTAGAAATTTCTGATGCAAATCAGAAGGAAAATGAAGATTTGGCTGTTAAGGACATGGGATCAAGAAGAAAAGAGGGCAAAGTAAAGAGGACAGGTCTTCGTGATTTGGGATGGACCAGGGTAGACCCATATTGATTGTTCAGAGCAGGCAGCTCATCTTCCTAGAATATTCATCAATTCTTTCATAGTCAGGAAATCTCACTGAGAAAGGAATTTGTTCACAGCTTCGAGTGAAGAGAGAATGGAGAGGCAGTTTAGGTCAGAAGTCACAGCCCTTATCCAGAGGTCCCGCATTCAGCTGGTGATGACAACTACCGGAAGGAAGGGTGATTTACTGTGTGAAAGATTTATCTGACATGTGAACTTTGAATCTGCAGACAATTTCCAAGGTACCCCTGAAACTGATCTCCTGTGATTTCCTACCCAAGACTTCCTCCATTTCTATCTTATTGTTTTCTTTGTCCTGCTCCCAACCCACATATGTCACATGGGGATGGAGGAGCAGGGAAGACTATACTCAGGACTACAGGGCTAGAGGGAGAAGGGGACACCCCAGGGTTTCTGAGCTGGCAGGGGATGGCTCCACAATGCTGTGGCTAAGCTGCTGGCGCAGAGATACACAGCTGTGTCACTGGGTTCTGCGGGATGGATCTTCAGGGTGGAGAACGATGCATCAGGCATCTGAGCTGTGAAGCGATCCTTGGGCATTTCCCCTTCATTTATAAGAGTTCTGCTGCGGAAGTATGCCAGCAATTCCAGTCTCCCCACCACAGTTTCTCTGTACCAGCAAAGGTCAGTGTGGCCTGAAACTGGCTCACATTTCAGAGTTACAGCTTGTCCCCTCTTTGTTAACTCATGCCTGGGTGTCTGAGCGACCCCAGCATTTGTGTCCTCTGTAAAAGAAGAGAGAATAGGGGGACAGAATAAGGAAGATATAGGAAGTCAGTAGTAGGGTACCCCGGCATGAAGATGTTAACTATGCTAAGGACTCACTTGCTAGCAGGACACACAGAGCCACACAGCAGGTCTTGATGCCCATAGCCATGTGAATAAATGTGGAACATTCAGACCAGGGTGCTGTGAGCAGGTGCACGGAAGTGAATTGTGGTACACTTTATTCTCCCAGGATGTGTCTGTCAGTGGCATCACCAAGTGACATCATCAACTTGAAAGCTCCTTGCAGAGGAGACTGTGTCTCTGGGAGACGAATCAGACAGGACTGAATTCCGCCATAACAGATCCAAGGTACAGATTTACCTCTCTGGAGGCACTTTGCAGTTCTGTTTTGCATTACCAACTCATAATGCTTTCTCTTCAGTCTGCCTTATCAAAGAGCTTGCCAAATATTTTCATTGATACCTCAAATTCCAAGTACTTCAAGTTGAGTTCATTGCCTTTTTACAAACTTCTCTATCTGCCCTCTTATTCCTCTCACTGGGGTCTCCACACTCCCAGTCATTAGTTCACACTCAAACCATCTGTCACTTAGTTGGAAGGTAACCTACAAATTCCACAGGAAGAGCAAGGATAGCCGCACATTGTGAGGGATACAGAGACTGATTTGAGGCCCTGAGAACCGATTATATTAGAACAATGCACTGGAAGGCCTCTGAGTGTCATTACGTTAGAGCTGTATTAATTCCCTGGAGCCCACACTCACAGACCCTCTCCCACATTCTTTATCTCCATCTTGAAACAAGTCTTGCTCTTAAAGATTAGCAAGTCAAATGTTTCAGAATTGATTTGCATCTTACTTTTAAGCTCCAGCAGAGCTCATTCTTTTTTTTCTTTCTTCTTTTCCTTTTTGTGTTTCTGAGGATAAAACCCAGGGTCCCGTGAATGCTAGGCAAGTGTTTTACCGTGGAACAACATCCTCAGCTCAAGCTCAATATTTCTTAATTATTATCTCCTGGACTTTTCCTTATTAGAAGAACCTGAAAACCACCTCTCTCACTCCATCCTCCTAATCCCACTTCCTCTCATGGTGAAGGTTATGGAGAGCTGAAAGAAGGCTCTGTCTCTTCAGTTGGCCAGGTAATAATTTGCTAACAAAAAAGAAAGAGTTTAAGCCCATACTTGAATTGTTGACACAGAAATGCACTGTCCTGTCCTTTGAACCTGAGGGCACCTACCAAATTTAAGCAACAAATACTCTGCAGTTTGGCTGGTGTTGCTTGACACCTGGTTCCCCTTGAAGGCACTGTCCTCTTGCAGTGCCTCTTAGGCCTAGAATGGAAGACTGTGGGCATCACTATTTTTAAAAAATCATTTTCTTTAATTTTCATTACTAGATGCCTACGTGTAGTAGATAGAATGATGGTCCTCCAGAGACATACACATCTAATCCCTGGGGCTTGTGAATGTGTCAAGTTACCTGGCAAAAGGATATTAATTTCCTCAGTGGAATTAAGATGGCTAGTCAGATGACTTTAACTGAGGGAGATTACTCTGAAATTTCCAAGTAGCTCTGATAGAGTCATATGAGTCTTACAATGTAGAAGAAAAAGGAAGAAGAGTCAGAGTAATGCAGCATGATAAGAGACGCGGCCACTCAGTCATTGTTAACTTTGCAGATGGTATGGGGTGCTGGTAATCTCTAAAAAGACAAGAAAACCGATGCTCCTCTCACCTACAAAACCTGCCAACATCTTGATTTTAGCCCAGTTTTTCCCATTTTGAACTTTGGCCTCTATAATTATAAGATAAAAAAATCTGCTGGCAAATTAGTGATAATTTGTTACAGCAGCAATGGAAATTTAATTCATAGCATTGTCCATAGAACACACTGGAGAAAGGGGCAGAAGCTAAGTACATAATACAGTGGGGAGGCAGATGCACTACTGCAAAGAATGAACTTGAAGCCAGGCCAAAGGGAGCCGAGCAAAGAATTCCTGTCTCTGCCAGGGGACACACAGACCCGGAGCGAATGACAAGATAAAGTGTAGATTGTGGCAACATCCCGATCACAGCTGAAGTCTTAGGGAGAGAAGACTCTGCTGTGAAGACCTGTCTGATAAGCTGACTAGCTGGTGGTGTCATTGTGGTTGTCATCTCCCTGAACCCAGGGTCTCTGTAGTTCAGAGTTACGTGCCCACTTCTCCTGCACCACCCTCTGCATTCAACAGAGCAGGCAGGGATGGCTTGGTCTGATTTGAGGTCAAGCTCTCTCAGGTTTTTCCAACACACAAACTGTTTCTTCCTTTTCAAAACCCGGAATGCGCAAGATGCACCGCCCTGACTCCCAGTGCCTCACATCTCTAGCAAGCTCAGAGGTGTCCCCACAGAAAGCTTACCTGCCACTTAGAGCCCAACTCGAAGCTCTGTCCAGAGCAAAAACTCAACAGAGGAAGGAGAGGTGTTCTCTAATTCTTTCATGCTGAGCCATCAAGACACCTGCAAACCAACTCTAGGTCTAACCCCAGAGTTCCCCATCCCGTGGGAAGCTCTCAGCCTCTCTCCAGACTTGGGACAAAAATAAAGCCACAGCGCTTCCTAGTGGCCATTATACAGAAACAGCACAAATGTGCTGTATCCCCAGGACAGACTAATTGTAATTTGCTTTAGTTAGTGAGGAGATATGGGATTTTATGATTCACTGATATCAGGGAATCAATCAACAATATTAATATTATTATGGCCTAGCATGGATCCATCTGGAAGACACACACTGAAGTCAGATAGGCGGAGGTTAAGTCAGTTTTAATATTGCTACAAAGCAGGGCTCTGATATTGGTGAACACTGCTCTGGTGGAATTAATCAATTCCATTCTGTCTCCCCTGGAGACTTCAGGTCCACTTTACATGGAAAATAAATTTTCTGAACCCGTAATGTTAGTTCATGTTTAGAAGGCAACAAAGACAGACCTTTTGTCTAGGTAGCCAGGAAGAAAGTGAGATAATGAAGACAGAGTGAGCTAAAATGAAGATGAGACCAGAAAAGTCACTTATTTTATTATAATAGACAAAATTTTGGAAGGAGTAGGAAGCTTACAACAGAAGTAGTACTTTGGGGATATCTTACAAAACAAGGACCTGGAGCAAGACGCTCAGGAGACTGTTTCAGTGAGGAAAGATAATCATCTATCAGTTACTCTTAAATTCTAACCATTGCATTTTGGGTGCATTTATAGAACCAACCATGCATAAACCATGACAGTGTGGAGATTAAATCGATTCTGGGCTCCTTCTGTGATCTCTGACCAAGTCTAGCTTTCACTGTGTTCTACTTCCCATCTTGCCATATGGTCCAAGGAAACATCAGGAGTTATTCAATGAACATAAGAAGTCAAAATAAAAATACCTAGTACTAAAATGCCAAAACAAGTAGATGTGTCAATTTGAAATATATATTTTTTTAAAAAAAAATTTTAAAGCTCCTGTAGTTGAAATAAAAATTGAACATTTCCATACCATTTGTGTTAAATGCCAAAGAAATCACAGACTAAGAATCTAACATTAAAACCCAAAGAAAATTAAACTCAAAATAAAATTCTTTGACTTTAATTTTAGTAATTACAGATGAGGGCACAAGCTGTTCCATTGTTATCTAAATAGTTGGATAAAATTTTAAAAAGCAGCATTAAAAACTTCAGTTAATGAATGTTCTAAAGATATAAGGAGGGAAAACTTGGGCAGAGTCTTGGAAGGAAAAAGCTGGTGAGGTTGGCACAGCTCTCTCTCCAGGGGAATTTGCTGACATCAGCTCAGCCTTTATGGCCAAAGAGCAGAACGTACCAAGGGTGAGCACTGATGTACTTTAATAGTAAGGATGAGCCAGAGGTAAGCCTGTGTCCAGGTGACCCAGGACACCTCAAGCCTTTCATCCTGATTTGGAAATCTTAAGATTGTTTATACCTTTAAATATTTGACAGAAACAAAATTCTCTCTGGAAGAAGATATGCCCATCTCCCACCAAAAATTATATCTCTAACTATAATGTGTGGTGCAACATCAAAGAGAATCATATTCATTGAAAATTGGAAATACCAGGACTGTGAAGCAGCACAAGAGGGAAATGAACAAAAGTAGCACATAAAGGTCTCAGAGGTGGAAAAAAGATGAGACAAAACAACTATCTTTCCTATGTTCAAAGAAAATAAAAGATGACTTTGGAAAATGTCATGAGGTAATTAGTAACTATAAAAACTGACATAGCAGATGGATAAAGAACCAAATAAAAATTCTGGAGATGGTGGATGGTTGTGTCATCCATCACACTGGTCGGGGTTTTGCAAATGAATAAATTAGATGAGCAACAGTGAATAAAGGCTCATAAATCATGACTTAGACTGTGTAAGGGCAGAAGGATGCCAGGGGTGTTGGAAGCAGAGAGAATGCCTTCAGAGGGCGGCCAGTACTCTCCAAGACTTCCAGCAAGTCTCCTAAATGACTTCTATTATCACCTTAGGATCTAAGCAGGGTTGGAGCAACAGGCAGACATGAATGTATTATCAGAGAGGGCTGTTGGATGGGATAATGGATTGCTTTAGACATTCTTAAAAGTAATACTTTAACCCACTAAAACACTACTTATATATGTGAACACAGATGGGTAGAAATGTGTTCAACAGTCTTTGAACTGGCCATATCTAGCCTGTCTAGTGTTGAGATGTGTTGTTTACATCGAAAATTTAGAGCCCTCTGGAGAAAGAAGATTTTATCATGAGCTAAGATTTGGAACTGGTTGCAAGAATATCCATTTGTGCAGTATCCAGTTGATGGGCAATTGGGCTGTTTCCAAGTTTTAGCTATTGCAAACTGTGCCACTATGAACATGGGTGCACATATATCACTGTGATATGATTCTTTTAATTTTTTTGGTGTTGGAAAAACTGGATTTCAACTTGTTAAAGATTAAAACTAGACCCATATCTTTCACCATGCACTAAAAAGAAATCCAAGTGGATTAAAGATCTAAATATTAAAACAGAAACACTAAACTTATTGGAAGATAAGTTAGGTAGAACTCTTGAAGATATCAGCAAAGGAAAAGACTTTATAAACAGCATGGAAACTAGCACAAAGAATCAAAATTGGGATCTCATG